GCTGCCTAGCACCTCAGCAGAGAGTATGTGTGATGTTTCTTTTTACTTTTCAATAGTATCGACTAAATTAGTTGTTTCGAACCATTATTATAGTTGAATTATCAGTAACTTAATGTGCTTTAAAAAAGTAAATTAAAGTCTAAAGCTCAAAAGTTCAGTCACATTTGCCATTGAAAGTGACTTATGTGTGAGCTGTGCTTCTTACATCGCTACACTATTGACAATAGACAATGGGCTTTTTGCCAATGAAAAACCTGCTTTCAGATAAAAACTTCACATTTATTAAAAAAAATAAAACCATCAAGATTCTGTTTATTCCCTGTGTAGCCTTGGCTCCATCCAGCACATTCGCACCTGCAGTGGTTGCCAGTCCAGCTAAAATGCAGGCAGCTGCAGCTCTGACTGAAGTGGCCAATGGTATTGTGGCTGTGGTAAGTTTCATGAGTAAAGAGTCACGGTAATATGCACTGAATGCGAAAGAATATTTTAAAATCCTGTTTTCTGTTTTTCCTCACAGAAACAAAACCCTCCCACTGTTACGGTCAAACCTCAAGTGAAGAAAGAAAACCAGTGGTTTGATGTTGGCATTGTCAAAGTGACCAATATGGTTGTAACACATTTCTACATGCCTGCAGATGACGCCGCTTATGTTGAGGTGAGCCACAATGAGATTCTCCTTCAAACAATATTTTAAGACCTTCCACCATTGCTTGTTTATAAAAGTAAGTATACTGACAGAACTGTGTATTATGTTGTAGGATGATTCTGGCACAATCCCTGACTACAGCCAGATGAAGAGGGTGGACCTTCAGCCCGGGACAGCCTACAAATTTCGTGTGGCGGGTATAAACACGTGTGGCCGCGGAGCCTTTTCTGAAATATCTGCTTTCAAGACCTGTTTGCCGGGCTTCCCAGGTGCACCGTGTGCCATAAAGATCAGCAAGGTACACCTCAAATCTTAATTTGCACTTGATTACCTGTTGTTACATATGGTGTTATGATAAATAGAATGTTGTAAAAAAAAATAATAATAATAAAGATTTTTTTTAAAGGAATTATTTTTGTTTTACAAATATTAATTTTGACAGATATGCTTTTTTAAAATTTAAAATACAGTAAAAACAGTTGTCTTTTTTTTTTTAAAGATTTAAAATAAAAATGTTCTAAACTTTTTGACCAATTTAATGTGTCCTTCATGAATAAAAGTGTTAATTTCTTCGATGCAGTTGGATTAGCAGGATCTGTAATTGATGCAACAAGAAAATGAATCATTACACTCATATAAATGCATCCTGTCTTTACTTATTTCTCTCCTCAGAGTCCAGACGGTGCCCACCTTACATGGGAGCCTCCATCCGTGACATCAGGAAAGATCACGGAGTATTCTGTGTATTTGGCCATCCAGAGCAGCCAGACCACCGAGGCAAAACCCTCGGCCCCGGCCCAGCTTGCCTTCATGCGCGTTTACTGTGGGCCAAATCCCTCGTGCCTGGTCCAGTCCTCCATCTTGTCCAACGCCCATATAGACTATACCACCAAACCCGCCATCATCTTCCGCATCGCGGCACGCAACGAGAAAGGTTACGGCCCGGCTACACAAGTGCGATGGCTGCAAGGTAAAGGTTTTCTGGCTTTCTTTGGTGGAGAATATTTTCTGTTTCAAGCAGTGACAAGGTAGATTTTACAGTTGCTTTGTATTGCCTCTTGCTTTGTAGAGTCTAACAAAGATGGCCTTTCTGCAAAGCCTGCCGCAAAAAGAGCAGTTTCTTCACCAGATACGTGAGTGTCCATGTCTTCAGTATTACAGAAGTGCATATGATCAAAAATACAGTAATAATGTTAAATATTATTTCAATTTCAGATAACTGTTTTCAATTGTAATGCTTAATGTAATGTATTCCTGTAATGGCAAAGCTGAACTTTCAGCAGCCGTTACTTCAGTCTTCAGTGTCACATGATCCTTCAGAAATCATTCTATTATGCTGATTTATTGCTCAAGAAATATTTCTTATTATCAGTGTTGCTGCTTAATATTTTTATGGAAACTGTGATATTTTTTCAGGATTTATTTGAAATAGAAATCTTTTATAACATTAGAAATGTCATTGTATAAATATAAATATTTAATCAGTTTAATGGATCCTTGCTAAATAAGTGTTAAAAAAAATGACTGTCCCCGAAATTTTAAACCGTAGCAGAATTATGGTTGAGTATTAAAATGCTTGTACATTTTATTACAGGAAAGGGATTGGTCAGAAGAAAGCAAGAATGGACCAGTGAGCCCCTCTCTCCGTTTGTCCTCCAAGACCAGAAAGACTTACACTATTCCTAATGCTCCATCCGGATTCAACACATCTTCAACTGTAACCATCCATCACAAACAGCACAAAATCAACAAGGAAATAGTGTTTAAGAATACAGTTACTAGGGAAATTTTTTTTCTTGTTAGTAGTATGGATGGAGAAAAGCACATTGCATATTTTTGAGTATTTTTCAACATACTTTGGGGGGGTAGCTTTTTCCATTGTAGAGTCTTCCTTTCTGCTCTCCCCCATTTCTTTCAATACATGTATCTTGCTTGAGTAAATTCAAACGCCAGTTTTAAGATATTTGTATCGTTTGATCTGTCAGCTGGGCTCAAATGAAGAAGCTCTCTTTTCTGCGATGGACTTCAGTGTGAAGTTTTAGTTCACAGTAAATGTGTGGACACGATTGTGATTGGAGATGAGTGATGTCATTTTCATGTGAGGGGAAAAAACAGAAATGGGGGGGAAAACAAAGCAAGCACTTGTCCTCAGACAAGAGGGGATATTTTTCACTTGAATTGCTCAGTGAAATACGATCTGCATAAGAAATCGTTCTGGACTCCAGCCTCATGGTGAAGTCTGTGCACTTTTGCATTAAGCAGAAATAGAGGCAGAACTGCAGATAAAGATGTGGCCATGGAAGTACATTACCGGCAGGACAGGACTTTGCTAGAACTGAGATTTGCCATACAAACAAAACAAAAAAAGGAAAAAATGCAAAACTTCACAAAAAATTAGCAAGCGATGATGGAGAAGATCTTTTGTGTAGTTTATTTTTGTATTTTTAAAGCTTTTCTCCTGTGTGTATGTCTGTGTGCTTTTCTTTTTTTTTTTCTTTTTTTTTTTTAACTCGCTACTTTTATTTTTTTGTTTTTGTTTTAAAAATTCTTGGCCATCCCCATTGGTTGAGGGATTTGTGGGAAGAAGGGCTTTTGGATGGGCCGTTCTCTTGTCAAGTACTTTTACAAAAGGAAAGACATTGTATTTGTGCTTAAGTTGAGTGGTGATGTGCTACAACTGAAAAGGATGTAAACAAATGTAAACATCTGAAGGGCTTTTACTTTGTTTACTGCGTATTTCTACGCTTGTTTCCACTGTGTTTGTGTATGCCAAACCTTGAGATGTAAAAATCGTAAAACATTGTTGAACTTTTTTTTTTTTTTTTAATTCCTCACCTTACCAAACCGCCTTTTATTAGTAAACACTCAGCTTTTTCCCTTCGTCTGGCTTTTCCTCTTAACTTTTTCACAACATATCCTTGTAGACTTTTCTCTGCCCTAGATTGTGAAGGAAGTTGTCCATGTGAAGATGAATTTCTACTTTTTTTTTTCCCTCCTTTGATTATCTGAGAGGTATGCAAACTAGATGTTCAGTGTATACCTGTATGTCTACTGTGGGCGAGGATGGCTGTACTCACTCTTGGTGAAAGCCAAGTTTGGATTCGACTGTAATATAGTTCATTCATAATGCAAAAAGTGAAGATGATATCCTGGCCTTTTATATATTTACCTGTACAACGTTTTTACATGTTGGTCATCTCCTGATTGCCTTTTTTGTCTTGACTTATAAAAGAAACAGAAATATATAAACTGTCTCCCTGAATAATTTTGACCAATTTCTTTTAGTTTCATGTAGCACATCTTGAGAGTTCGTTCCACCCATAGTGTCTTCCAGAATTGTAGTGAATTAGAGTAGCTATATTTGATTATACTCTTTTCAGAAAGCTAAATAGATAAGGCGGTTAACTCGTTTGCATTTAATATGGAGATATTTCTGGCGAAATAAATGAATAATGTCCCAGCATAGTATTCATATGACGTAGGCTAGTTCATGAGGTTTTATTTTCATATAAAAGTCTTTTACACTCATCAAGCAAGATCAGTGTTATTTTTTGTTTTGTTTTAGTTTGTTTTTAATGAAAATATTCTTTAAATCATGTTTGTCATTTATTTTAATTAATTTTACACCGACTAAATTGGCTAATTTTAGTAGAGGAAAAGTCTAGTAGTTATATATATACTATTTCAGTCTGTGTGCATTGAATTTATTTAATACACGAGTTTCACAGTTTGAGTTGAATTACTGAAATAAATGAACTTTTCCACGACATTCTAATTTATTGAGATGCACCTGTATATATATAAACAAAAATGTGAAAAAATTCACAATGTGATTTACAAACAATCATATACTTCCTAAAAAAACTTATTTGGGGCATTACTACTCTTGAGGTGTTATTTTTTTTATTGTCGTTTTCATCAGTAGCGTGTTTTAAAATAGTCTAATTATTGTCATGATGTGAATTTTCACCTCGTCTTTATTGCTGACAAAATTTTTAAAAAGCAAACACCTTTCATCAGTTAAATGACTGATTCCATAGATTAAAGGCCCATTCACACCAAGAATAATAACTTAACGTTGTTTATTATAATCATGCACTGTAGTTGTCGTCTGCCGCTTTAAAGGGGTCATATGATGCTGCTAAAAATAACATTATTTTGTGTATTTGGTGTAATGAAATGTGAGCTCTTTAAAGCTGGGTGGATTCTGATTGGCTCAATATTGTTATCGTTCATCAGCTGGAAAAAAAAACGTTTTTTAAAAGTGGTTCCAACGAAAATGTTCTTCTGTGTAGTTATTGTTATAGCTGTTGTGGACTTCACTATATCAGAACTAGAACGTTTCTAGTTCTAGTTATACCGGTAATAATCGTCACCCTTGGTGTGAATGGGCCTTAACATTGAACAGTAGCACAGGAGTTTGTTCTTGCTTCAGCAATAGCATTTTTTATTTGGCGGCTTCTCCTGTTGTTTCTGTATAATCTGGATGTCGTCTCCATTCTCCACATGGTGACTTTTGAGCTGTAGAGAGTGCGACACAAACAACTATAACTTAATACTGCAGCTTTTTTGGTCAAGCTTAATATTAAATGTTCAGTTAGGCGGCCTGACTAGCGTCTCTGATCAAAAATTGAATTAAATATTTGTTAAAAGAATCCTGATTTAGTCTTAGTTATACAGAATGCTTGAACTCACAAACTGCAAGGCCGCTCGTGCCGCACTGTGAAAGGTCGCGTCCACGCCAATGTCTTCCTTGGCACTACATTCAAAATATTCAGCTCCGATTTCACTGCACCACTGCTGGGCCTTGTTAGGGGACACCTGTCAATCAAATCCTGCTATCAGTTATTAAGCAAAGTCACTGGATCTTATAGCTCATAATTCAATAGAGATGACTAACCTCACGATAATCCAAGTCAATTTTATTGCCGAGCACTATGAAAGGGAATGCAGAGGGGTCTGAAGGACATGCCTGCACCAGGAACTCTTTCTTCCAGACTTCTAGTGCATCAAAGGAGATGGACGAGGTAACATCAAACACTAGGAGGCAGCAGTGAGCTCCACGATATAGTGTGGTACCCAGGGAGTGAAACCTCTCTGTTCCTGCAGTGTCCCAGATCTGGTGCAAAAACAGCTGAGTATTGCATGACACAGTTTGTAGAGCCCTATTCGGTCAGTTGAGATGTAACCCATGTTATTGTGATGAAAACTATATGTGAATCCTCTGTATGACATGGTGAATGATTTTCTAAGTTTGCTTTTATTTTTAAAAACTGTTGGTTTAACATAAATGAATGTAAATGTATCTCACCTGAAGAATCACTGATCTTTTATCAATAGTGATTTCTTTAGTAAGGAAATCTACCCCAATTGTGGCACGATACAAATTAGTAAAGTGATGGTCGACAAACCGGGTCATAAATGAAGATTTTCCCACTCTGTTCAAACAAAAAGAAACGGAAAACTAAATGACCAGAGAATTAACTGGTAAATTAACTACCTACAGGGCATTAACATTGAGTTACAGAACCAGCTTCCTCTGTAAATATGCCAAACTTCTAGAAACACAAGCAGCTGTTGAGGTTTTTCTTGTTTAGAGAGTAACACTGCTTTTAGGTTTTTTTTGTACTTCCTTGTTTTTGTTTAACAGTACAATGGTCTTTGTTTTTGGGGTCACACATACACTGGAATTCAAAAGTTTGCAATCACTTTTGAAATGTTTTTAAAACAAAATTATTTTGTACATCAATGTAGCATCTAATTGACCAAAAATACAACGAAAAACACTAATAGGTTAAATCAAAATAACTGTTTTAAATAAGTATTTATTATGATTTTTTTTTTTAAACATTATCATTTCTTTATGATGGACAAGCTCTATATTTTTTAGCAGCCATTACTCCATACATATACTTTATTCTGTAATCCTTTAAAAAAGAATTTAAACTTATTTACAGTATTTTTAAATCAATATTATGCAACCTTGGTGAATAAAAGTATCACACTTTCAGAAACATCAAAAGTGAAATTTGACAAGAGTCTTGACATTCTGTTTCAGAAACATCATTAAAGTTATAGTGATACCATATAGTCATACCAAACGTTTGAATGGTAGCATTAATGTCTTTGTTGTTCTTGCAAAAGTAGCTATTCTGGACTATAATAGGATACTGGAAAAGTTGTTCATAATGCCTTTTATGTGAATTGCACGTGGGTCTACATGTACATGCTTCACTAGTATTTACAATACTTTCAATACTTTCTAAGACAGACACTCAACCAGAGTTTCCGATAAGAATGACTTTCAAGTGTGGTGTGCATGTGCTCCACTGCGTCATGATAAAAATAACCAAAGCTGTCTTCAATGAAAAGAGGTCATGAAGGAACTCATCTCGGTCATCACTTCTGTATTTCAGACTGTAATGTCCTGTTCGTATCACGGATCCATTAAAAAACATGGCAAAATAGGTAATGGTTAACCACCTTAGCCGTGTAAGGTAAACAAACGCCTTGCCAAACTAAACATGTGGTGTAGGCTATCAAAAATGTTAGTAGCCTATTGCAATTGTTGTGCAGTTTTACATTTTATGATCTGATATTTGAAAATACCAGTCGACATATAGCATTGCTCTTCATTTTTGAAGTAGGCCAAAAATGACGTTGTTTGATCCGTGTTTACTCTTGAAATACCTTGGAGTACCATATACAATATACCATACATGTATTAACTACCATATTGTATATAAAAGTACAGCAGTGTAGCCATCTGATACCATTTACTGTACCATGGTACCGGCAGAGTACTGTTTTGTAAGGGTAGCTTTTCATCATTCATTTGGCTTTCAAAGTACAAATTTTAGAGGCAAACACTTGGCAGAACCCGCTATATGTGAGTGTGTCAGTTAAGGGTGTGGAGGCCAAAACTGTAACAGTGTAACAGTGAATATTGAGACCAGTTCTCCTCAACTGAAACGTGGTTTCGACTAATTTACCTCACAAAAACACAGACAAACTTAGCTGGTACCTTTGTGTCACACTATTACTTATGGGAGCTGTGGCTTTGAGGTCAGGTACACATCCTCTTCTTTGAAAGTTTAGAATTTCACCTCTGTCTTACATGCCATTCGTCACTCTCTCTATGAATTATATTCAAGTGTTACATGTAGCCTATCTCTGAAGGAACCCATCCATGGGTTTTTTAAATAGTGGTTATGGATTTATGAGTAAAACAAAATCTGTCATAACATTACTTTAAGATACTTTCACATTTTGTTGTACAACATACATTACACACAGTCACTCAAATGTGAAGACAGTTGTCAAATGTACACTACCTTTTAAATTTTGGGGGTCAGTAAGCTTTGTTTGTTTATTTGTTGGTTTTATAAAGAAATGCATACTTTTATTTAGCAAGGATGCATTAAATTGACAAAAGTGACAGTAAAGACATCGATAATGTTACAAAAGATTTCTATTTGAAATAAAATGCTGTTCTTTTCTATTCATCAAATCCTGAAAAAAATTCTGAAAATCATCATAGAATGATTTCTGAAGGATCATGTGACTGAAGAAGACTGTAGTAATGATGCTGAAAATTCAGCTTTGCCATCACAGAAATAAATGACATTTTATAATGTATTAAAACAGAAAACAAATATTTAAAATTGAAATACATTTTTTACTTTACTGTATTTTGATTAAATAAATGCAGCCTTGGTGAGTATAAGAGACTTCTTTTAAAAAACATAAAAAAAATTGGTCTCAAACTTTCAAACATTGTTAGCGATTTACTGCAACTACCACAAGGATGTGAGTTTACATACTTGAAGAGTCTGACAACTACTGTAGTTTCTTTCTTGTTATTCATGAAAACCACTATTCTAAAAACAAATGAGAAATTCCCCTTGGGAACGGATGGTGAATATCCTCCCGTGTTAGCCTACTAATTGGCATCACGAATTAACAGCTTTTTACTTATATATGTTGTGGATGAAGTGGTGTGGAGGAGGGACAGACTGGAAATTATTTCAGTGTGATATATCCTCTTACAGTCTGCAACCCATAGACAAGAAGCATTCTGTGTCCTCTCACTCAGACTTATCTTTGGGATAAGACTTTTGACTAGAAATGATTTGATAGAGTCTTGAGGATGAGATATGTAATTATTTGGGAATGAAGCTACTTGTTGGCAATAACACTTACAAATATGGATGACCTAAAACAAATTCATTCCAACTTTGGATACAAATAAAAATAAGAAGTCAAGGCAAAGAGAGAGAGGCGGTCCTTTGAGCTGTACCCTCATGACACGGAGCCACTCAGCTGGCTGTGTGAGGCAGAGATAAGGGCCTGCTTTCATGGAAGTTTCTTTCCTCGGAACTGGAACGCTGCCCCAAGAACCCACAACTGCCCCCAACTTTTTGGCCTTTCTGCTCTGGCCCCCACACCACCCTGACCAGTAACAGTTCCCACAGAGTCTTGTGTCACTCACCAACTGAAACATCTTTATGGATCCACACGGGCATTGTGTATTTTGCACCTGGATCTAAGGACTTCCTGGTTTCAGGAATGGATATCATTATACTAACAGAAGTGCACTGTCACTGTTGTCAGTCACATTGCCCCTTAAACAAAACCCTGGATTGCAAACACACAACACAAGAGTGCATGTACATAGTTGTACTGTTATTTTATTTGAGTTATGGAGAGACCAATGCAATGCAATATTTTTAAACCTATATTATTGGGTCAGTTTTTATTTAGCAAGGTCACATTAAATTGATAAAAAGTGACACTAAAGACATTCATAATGTCATTAAAGATTTTTTTCAATTTTCAAAGAATCCTGAAAAACATATCCCAGTTTCCACAAAAATATTAAGTAGCAGAAATGTTTTCAACACTGATAATAATAAGAAATGTTTCTTGACCAGCAAATCAGCATATTGCAATGATTTCTGAAGGATCATGTGAGACATGAGTAATGGCTGCTGAAAATTCAGCTTCACATAACAGGAATAAATTAACATTTTTAAATATATTCAATTAGAAAACTGTTATTTTATATTGTATTAATTTTTCATAACATTACTGTATTTTTGAGCACATAAATGCATAACAGACTTCTTTCAAAAACGTACCCCAAACTTTTAGTAGTGTGTAGTGTAGATATACATGCAGTCAGAAACTGTTTGGAATCTTTCATATACAAAATGGGGTTAAAAACATTACCCCAAACTTTTGAACAGTATGTAATTTATTTTTTATGTATGTATGTGTGTGTAAAAATGAGAAACATTTATTGATTTGGGCTTGGTTAGTCTATGTGTCATATTAATTAGCTTCATACAGAAATACTAGACATCTAAAATAAGTCCTCATTTAAATAACCAAGTAAACGTGTATGTTGTATGTGTGTGTAAAAAAGAGTTGTCTTGACTACCATTGTAGGGTGTCACTTGTTCCTGTGAGTTTGTTCATGTAGTGTCATGGCTTACGATTCCCCAGCCTCCCTCTCCAATCTTGATAACCTCTTATCACAGTTCAGCAGCCAGCACACACACAGCCACCAGCCACATCCCTCAACACTGCCTCTCTCTCGCTCTCTCTTTGGAGAGTTCTTTCTATTTAAAATTTTTTTTTTTTTAAAGGTCCAAGCTTTTACAAGCATTTTAAATTCTACACATTTTCACTTCAATACAAAAATGGATGATTTCATTTTTTATAGAAAAATGGATAATGCCTTATCACCACAAATACTGTAACTTTACAACATGTTCAGGACAGAAAGTCGTGTTGTATTTATTGGTTTGTTTTTGAAATGCTAGTTCACTTAGAAATCATTTACCATCATATCATTTTTAAACAGAATGTCCGAGCTACTCTACTCTCCTCCATAGAAAGTGAATGCTGACCATGGATGTTTTCAACCAAAATTTGATGAATAATGATTAGAATTTGAGCCTGTTTCTCACACAAAACATGTGCATAAGTCGTACTGACAACTTTTGTGATGCTATATGCTGTTCTTATGTGCTTTTTGCAGCTTGACAGCCCTATAGTCACCATCCACTTTTATTACATGGAAAACAACTCCCTTTGTGTTCCACCGAGGAAAAAAAAAAGTCAGTTGTTTGGAATGTACAGTTTGGAATGACATGAGGGTGAGTAAATCAAATTTTGGGGGAACTGTCCTGATGTAACAATGTATTGGCCTACATGCTGAAGTTCTAAAATTGAGCCTTATGTAAATCAATAACCTGTCCCTTGTTGAAGGATTTGCTTCTCTGGATCTCTTCCCAGTTTCCCTGAAAATTATAAATGCACAATGGTGGAGGGAAGTTGAAAGTGTTTTGACTGTCAAATGACAGTGACAGTCTAAGTCCTGTGCTCAGGCAGGCCGTTCTGCATCCGTATCTCTGACCATGATTGCAGCATTTGAGTTGATTTGCATTACGGTTCTTTGCTGAGCTGCACCAGGGAAAAGTGCCTTTGCATTTTCATTTGCTTTGTTCATAGTCACCGTTTCCATTTGGAATAGTCTTTGTTACTACTTTGTGCTCTTTTAATTTCTATATTTATTGTGTATGTGCCATAGAAAACTTACATGCTCTATGATTTTTTTTCACAAAAGTGCACCTTTATCGTTGTGCTTGAATCATACGAACGATAAGTTTATGGTTGTTGTAAACTAGGGTTTCTCATATTCTCTGTGGGATTTTCTCAGACAATGAACTGTTAGATTTGCCTCTTTATCTGTATTTATACACCAGGTCATGTTATATAACCTCTGGTTTGTAGTGTGGGACAGTATAAGGATTTCTTAAAATGTACTAAATGTTTAAATGTTAATCAAATGTCAATCATATATGTGTAAATCTTTTAACAGCTGTCTTGCTAAAATCTTACAGACGTTTTTGTGAACCAGAAAGCTCAATAACTGATTGAAAGTTGATTGTGAAATCTGAATAGGATATAATTTTGTGTTCAGAATCATGTTTTCGCCAATCATGCACAATCATAATTGGTCAAGAATATTTATACAAACCACCATTGTTAAACTCATCGTAGTTGCTGTGTCAGCCAGAGATCTGCCATGTAATATTCAAAACTCTAAGCATGGCCATATGGTAGGAGTGTCCAAAAAAAGTACCCCAACCCCACCCATTGGTGCCCTACAATTTCAAATGAAGTTAATAGTTCCCAAAGACTGAGGGAGATAAGCAAGCGAGCAGAGGACCAGTACACTCTCATTCCCCAGACGTCCTGCATGATCTGTGCAGTGGTGTGAATCTACTCACCTGATAAACAAGCTACTCAATACATCACTTGCAGGTAAGCTCTTCCAAACAAAGTGTCTCACAACACATCACCTGGCTTTGTACTCACAAAATTATTTTCTGTGTTTAGATGAAGAAGAGAGTATTTC